AGAATGGCTTCACAGCGACTCTCAAGATCCGTCCCGAACTCTGCGGTTTGCTTCAAGTCGCGGATTGCGGGAATGCTGAAATCCTTCTCCGCGCGACCGACAAAACGCATGACTTCTGATACTTTCGGCTTGAGCGATTGGGGCTCAGGTGCAATCCAAGCCTTTGCCTGTTTTTCAAAGTCTTTTGCCTTGCTCCGGGCAGACATGAGCCTATCATAGACGGTGACGTCAATAGGAACGTTTGTGTCCAAGTCAAAAAACTCATCGAGTTCTTCGATGGTTTTGTATGGTTGTTCGAGTATGTGTCGGGCCCGTTCTTCCCAATCATCGCCTGCGCGCTGCCTCGACTCAAGTATCTTGATAAACGAGTTGTCCAGAGGCAAATTAAAGACCCGAGCACGAGTAAGGAGCCGTCGTATATCCTCCAACGTAGCCGACGCATCGTCCACCTTCTCCTCAACCTCTTTGACGAGCTGTTCGCGTGAAACAATTTTCTCAACTTCGAGGATCTCATCGAGATGAACGTTTAAGGAAGATCCTTCCATAAGAAGCCTTTCACAATCAGCAAGGTATGCATTGCGATCCGCCACCGAGGATGCTTTGTCAAGTAAGGCACGAGCCTCCCTCTTGATTTCTTCTGAAAGCTGCGCGAGGGTTTGCAAAATGCCGATTTCAGGAGTATCGAATCCCAGCGTCTTGACCTCTTCCAGCAACGTATACAAATCATCCAACCCACGATCAGGCCTGTCTCCTGGGTCACGTTCATCAACCACAGGATTGTTCACTTCGTGAAGGGGAGGGCGTCCCCGGGATCGACGAGAACGCTTCCGGCTTTGTTTGCGGATAATAAATGTGTTGGCGGCGTCGAGCCACTCTCCAGCGCGGTTGACGCATTTACGGAGGGCAGCAAGCTCAGGAAGATGGTGGTTAACGCGTTCTCCTTCGGCAAGGAGAGCTTTAAGGGAGCGAATGGGAGGCACATCACTCTCCATCAGAACTTTGTTGAGTTTAGCCCTCCAGCTGGCGGGAACATTTGCACGCTCAACCACCTTGGTCAGTGTCTCTTGCAGATCCACGTCGGATATACGCTTTCTGAGGGTTAATTGATTGGGAGAATGATCACAGAGTAGATCAATGTGGTCGACACAGACTACTTCTGCCTTGCAATGACAGGTGACCTGAGATAGATAGCAGAACACCTTGCATATCGTGCATTGATACTGGTCCTCGGGTCGGTCTTCTTCGTCCAAAATTTCTGACAAGGCTAGGGACCGCGCATGTTTGCGAGAGACTATCTCACGGTCTGTCATCTCCTGAAGACTCGCAACCAACCTAGTTAAAGTTCAAATTAAAGGGTGAAACATATCTACAACATCGGAAACTTGCCATAATGCAGTTTTGATTGATTGTGATTGCTGTGTGATCGTGACAAGTAGTTCATCATGAGAGAAGACCGGTAGTTTCCGGTGTTCGCGGTATCGCTGGACGCAATCACGGCCGTAAGGCAGCCAATCGGGAAGTGCAAAATTAACTGCTTCGTTGAAGTTGAACTGCCGATAAAGTTAAGCCACCCAATCGATCACTATAGCGCAAGGTAGTACGTACTCCGTGGTTGAAGCCTGCATGGTAGGCTTTGGGGAATGTGATAACAAATTCGCCCGCTCGCTGGTTGCATGCATACACACGAACTCCAGCATCAGTGAGGCGTTTCGGATTCATCAGCGTCACGAGCTGGAATAGTAGATCCGGCTGTGCTTCAAAAAGATCTGGCGCTTCACTCTTGATGGCAGCCTCAAACTTCTCAGCATCATCGCCAGGAATGCCGTACCACGTCTTCGTTTCACCCCAATGCACTTGAGTGAAGATGAGTATATTCAAGATTAGAAGTCGAAAGCAAATTTACGCACTAAAGTTGATGCTATAGGTGTAATGATCCTATCACGGAAGTTCTATTAATGAATCTCATGAAATATGCTAAAATTGATTTACCTCGTTGTGCCAGCAAAACGTAGAAAAGACCATACCGACATATGTCCACGGAACAGTCATGCCAGAGATATCAGACTTGATATATCTTAAAAGAGAATCAGATACAATCGGCATGTTGTTCAAATTCCACGGATCTTTGGAAGCTGCCTCCAACGGATGGGTCTCCATAGTTGGCATAGCACTAATATTCATAATGAACACCAGTTAGCGGCGAGAAAATTCAGTGAGGCTTGAAACGAACCTTCCATGCGTGGTCGAGTGTACATCCGCCCCATACTCGATTTCGACTGTTTCGTGCGGAGACTGTACTAGACGCCAAAATTCGTTTTCTACGTCGGATTCAGAGACCAGTTTGTCACCGATAATATTGACTGTTGGATCATCTGGTTTGACGAAGGCAGATGCCGAGGATGAATGAGAGTCCCACCACATGCGGCGGAACGCAAGATCTCGAGCCTGGAAGCTTGAAAGACTGTGTTCTTCACCCTCATCAAACCCGAAATCACCGCCGGTACCAAACAAACAAGTATGGCAGAACCACTGGCCCTTTGGAATAGTTGCCAGCGGAGGATCGAGACAGAACATGTGGAAACCTGCAGGCGGGAAATAAGGGGGTAGGAAAATGAGATCGATAATTAGCTTACCACAATCGCAGCCATCACAAAGGAGCATTTCTTCGCCGCGGTTCTTCTTCTGACAAATTTCACAAGACTGCTATTTGGGTGTGAACCATAATTCCCGGTTGCCAAGCACAGAACACTTACCTCTTGGATGACCTTGTTCTCCTTCTTTTGATCGTGAAACATGGGAGATGGAATGATAGGAGACGGGAGTAGCGTGTTGACTTCCGAGGCACTGCGCATGGCTAAAGCGATAAAAAAGAGAGGGAAATCAGTATCGCACAAATTAGATGTGCTGTATACTGACGAGTTGATTGGGGGGATGTTCTAGCAGTGCGGCGAGGATGAGAGCTACCCGACCGGCTTGCGGTCGGGGTCTTATAATCATTTTCATCAGGCGGCTCCGATAGAGGGCTGGAAGATGCAGTTAGCGGGCTAGATGGAACACTGGAACTGTCTCGACGCGAAGTTCCTAAAGCAGTGTTTGAGAGACTTTGCATATCAGTATGAGTTTTGAGCTGAGGGTCTCGTGGCACTCCGGGTGACATGGATAGCGTTGGTGAATTTCGTACACGTTCGCAGAAATGTTCATATGGCAAGATTACCCGCGTATAGGAGTTCTTGATTTGCGTCGATAAGCCTGGGATGCCACGATACCCCAATAACGCTCCAAGGTCAGCCCACTTCTTGTTCTTCGTGACCTTTGGAAAAATTGGTGGATGTCAGACAACCTATAAATTGCGCGCTTACCGCGTCGTAACCACCTAACTTCTGGACTTCCTTCCGGAGAAGCCACAGATCGAGCGGCTTGTGATTAATAGTGGGAACGGACACACGTGGATTGCCTTGCTGTTTGTGGAAACGATAAAGCTGTTCCAAAAAATTTACTTTGGCTCTTGATGAAGCCTCGATGGAATTGAGGCGCTGCAATCGTGTCTTGAAACGAAATGTCTACGGAAATGAATTTTGGTAAGATTTACCGCCGAAATATCAAAGAAAAAATCTGTGGCATATTGATTTAGTCCACCTACCTCGGTATCGGTGACAAATGGCATTTTCCACCCGATTGGAGGAATAACTTTGCAAATTCCGTGTGTTCGTGCTTTGTCCGATATGGATCGGATGTAAGTCATGGGGTCTTTGAATTCATCCATTGTAGGACAAAAAACGGGACAGTCTTCCAATCCAAAAGGTCGGGGCGTTGGATGTGGTGGCACATCCCTGGGGCTGGCTGTTTTCACCGAAGACAAATCAAGCATGGGAGAAACAGGAATTGGATTTCGATCGGGTGAAAAATCATCAGTCATCTCTTGCATACTGATATCATCATTATCGAGTGAAGAGGCGTGACTTTGGAGGGCGGCTAGAGCATGGGTCTTTGATTTGCGAGGCGCGCGTTTTGGCGCACTTGTGGCCTGTTGTGATGTCCCAGGCTGTGCGGAATCCGAAGACTTTTCCTCCTCAGTGACGATAGGAATCGCACCTTCGACTGGTATTGAAAGGCAAGTAGTGAATGTGGCGGGTTGTTTATTGGAAAATTCAGTTGGGAGGGCGTCTGTAGAATGAGAAGCGCCCTGCCCTGGTGTTCGCGGGGACCGTCCTCTGCGAGAAGGTGTCCCCCGCGATGTCGATGGCGGTGGACTTGGTTGCATGTCCTGGCAGGTTTCTTGCGATAATTTTTGTTATCGTGGACCTGTGAAGGTATTGTGAGTGTAAGATGTCAAGCCTTGTTATACTTGCACTCCGACGGCCCTTGGATGTGTGGGAGCGGGCATTGAAATTGAGCACAGAGTATTATGGTGCGCTGCTGCTTCCGCGTGAGAAGAAATTCATGTTCGCGGAGTATATTCATCAATGCTTCCGCATATGAATTATCTATCGTTGTCCATCCTTGTATAAAAATGTGGGATAGAGTGATCAGACAAAATATCAACTATGAAATGGTAGCGTTCCCCGAATAAATACAAAGGATTAAACCACCTTGATACAAATGCGACAGAGCGACCTCTTCCTTACGAGATCGTCAGGTTACAACAAGGCTGATACAGAAGCCTTGAGAAGATTCCGTAAGCGGTAAATGCAGCGAAGATGCCCGTTCACTTGGTGGAATGTAAATGCTGCCGATCGCCAATAATAAGAACCGCTGATATCACAGCGGCATGGCGGTACATCAATGTACCATGATAATCAGTAAGTAGCTTGATCAGACTTTAGTTGGACGCAGGCCAAATATCAATAGAATAAGGGTGGGCATAGGGTCGAGTGCCCACCAACAGGATTCGTTATCTTCAGAATCATTCTCATCGGATATCCATATTTGCAAACTTGTGACCTACAAAAAGAAATGCAGCGTTCGCCACAGCACAAAGCACAGAAAAAAAAAACATGATCAACCCCCGGCGGGACTCGAACCCGCAACCTCCAGATCACCAAGGGGTAGAAGTCTGACGTCATAACCATTAGACAACGGGGGCGTGCTTACCATGCCTTCAATGAAATGCATAATCAGCATAGAAGGTCACCGGTCGGATAGACCCTAAATAACTCGGTGTCGATGTAATGACGAGTCGCTAAGAATGGACATGGAAGTGGAAAAAAAATGAATCATGATGTAGCACTCACATGAGTAAGAATAGCAATGCCTATCATTCCGAATGTCAAAAGATATTATTTCTTGGTATGCAGTAGATCGTTGCAACTGATGGATCATCATGAATCACCTGTATGAAGTGCCCAAGCACATAGACAGCCGACGCTTGAATGACCTTTAAAATGCTCTCTCTCGTGGATCGCGAAATTTCAGTCGCGAGGCATTTCCTCCGCCCAAAACAGCTAGGGTGGAAAGATAATTTAAGCTCAATTCCCGTTTATCTGTCATAATTTGATAATGAACCAAGAAACAAATTTAGCAGGCGATTCATCGAACTATGCGATCCGAAACAGATGCAGACCTTTGGAGATTAGATCTGGCAGCAGCCTTTGGGATAGCGGGGGATGGAGGATGTATAAATAAATCGGAAACCTCGACGATTCTTATAAGTAGTCATATGACTCACTTGTTCTTATCGGCCATTGAAAAACAGCCAGCAGAAGCTCTCAAAACGCATTTGCAACCTGGCTGTTGAACTAATGTTTTGATACGGTGTCGATCACCGTGACATCCGTCTACTTCCCTGATCGTCAACATTTCATCGATGGTAAAACTGCGCTGCAAGATACTCACATGGTTCACGAAAGAAGATAGCCAGGTCTGAAGAAGTTCCGAAGCGATGATAACATGACAAATGCCAGGGTTGGGCTGGGATTGCGTGTATGTAGCCTTCTTGTCTATTTATGATTTCATCTCGATCAATCATCAATCGAACCTCGCACTAGGAGGGACTGCATAAAAGTTTCGGGAAATTCTTGACTCTTATGTTGAGAATACATTTCCTCGGACTCCCGTAAGTCTCGAAGATATCCTCAAAACCTCGTGGTGCAACACTCTGCCGGTCCGATGTAATCGTCGAGCCGTCGTTGCTCCATTACTCGGCTGGTAAGCTGCTTCGCGAGATATTCAATCTGCGTCCCAATATAAGCCACCCATAAGACATCGAACGTGCGGGTCTTGGTATGGCGTGGTTGCTGATTCTTGAACCAACTTGTTATCGAACCAGATCGCCCCTTGACAAGCTAATACACCGGATACGATGGATCCTTCAAGGGCACAATTGACGGTGAGATATCCACGTGGTTCCGTGCAGACTCGTATTTTGAAAATGATTCTATGAAGACCAATAGGATAGCTGGCAGGAGAGCTCGATGGGCTCTAGATACGACACATTCGGATGATAGCAGTATATCGAGTGACACGATGTCATCATCCGAGCATGGGAAGAGTCGCTGGCTTCAACTATTTCGTTCGTTGTTGTGTTTTAAAAAAAAATCACTGCCGATGACGCAGGTGTGTAAGGTTATCTTCAGATAGGTTTGGTCGTGATTGCTAATGTTCAGTTGCCAGATCAACAGGAACGTTCGTGATGCGCCAATGAGGTAGATGGTGATCGAGGGATCACATAGCCAGAGGATTATATTCCGGGTGAAGTCAATCTGGTCAATCAAAAGTCGACGGACATTTCCAAGTGGGGAAGAATGTTACATCGCCCAAATGTTAGTTATATGGGATAATACATGACTAACGTTTCTGATTTCGGTTAACAATTGAGGCAAGACCCCAGTGTTAAAAAATGCGCTTCCATATGGTGGTGAAGCAGCAGAGAGCAGCAGCAGCAGCAGCATGATGAGCATTGATTATACTCGAGGTTTCGAAAGTTGATATCGAGTCAAGTGGCAATATTGCCGAGACGAATAAAATATGATAGGTGTCAGAGTATTCGGAGTCTTCCGTGCTTCTTTCCATGTTTGTTTCGGGGTCATACGTACATTGAGGTTCGTCCTCCAAGTTGGCTTGCAGCTTTCCGTACTTAATTGACATCCTCCTGTCAGTATAAATTATGGTGAAACCATCTTGTTATGAAGTATAATTCTATTGTTCTAACGCCTTCATTCCCATAGGTTGTGTGTCAATATTTTCTACGCGGACAGTGCAGATATGGAAAGGAGTGCAGAAACGAGCATCCAGTTGACCAACAGAGACAAGGGGGGTTCGGGAGTAGGTTTTCTTCTTAAATACCCTCACTAATCGCCAGATTGCTTATTTATGCCTTCAGATCAATCTTGGACTGCAAGCTCGTCTAATACCACCAATGCGAATGCGTCAAAGCCAGTTGTTCCATTCACGTGCGCTATTTCTTCGGTGCCACATCGCACAACAGACTCATTATCCGCTATTTCAATAATTTCTCGCCGTGCGTAGACTTGATACTGTAACAAAAGATCTAACGCCGCAGCAAGATAAGCCTTTATGGCCTCTCTCTTCGTATGGTGCTGCAAAATACGAACCGATAATTGTTGGCAGTTTGGATGAATCCTTCGAGGAACTACGTTTTAAAGCCTTCAGTGCAGTCAAAGACGGAACCATCAACGACTATGTGTGCAATTCCTCACTTCAGATCATCCTGCCAGGACTCAACGATATTCCACAGATGAAATACGAAACCGAGAGGACTGCTGCAGCTGATCAAACATACGCAAATGCTCTTGCAAATGTTCAGCAGCTTTATGATCAAGCTGTGAAACAGAGTCCCAATAACCAAGCACCCATTCCTTCCGTCTTTGGTAGCACATCAAGCTCTACACCTTTTAACGCGCCCGCTTCATCCTTTGGGAATGGCGGGGGTTCGGTGTTCGGTTCTGGGTCAACCTCTGCGTTTGGTAAGCCCGCGTTTGGTCAGCCTGCCTTCGGGCAGACCGCGTTCGGCTCTTCCGCACCATCTATATCGGTCTTCGGACAGTCCTCGCAACCAACGTCTGTGTTTGGTCAGCCCACTCAATCGACGTCTGCATTCGGTCAAAGCACGCCATCGTCGTCACCATTTGGTCAGCTCCCGCAATCTTCAGCGCAAACGGCTTCGGCGTTTGGCCAGCCTTCACAAGCGCCATCAGCGTTTGGTCAACCGTCGCAAACCCCCTCCGCTTTTGGTCAGCCTTCGCAGCATACCTCAGCATTTGGCCAGCCAGTGGCATCAGTATCCGGCTTCGGTCAACCTCCCCAATCAACGTTTGGTCAGTCGTCCCTCATAAAGCCTGCATCTGGGGCTTTTGGCTCGACACCCACCGCTGGCGCGTTCGCCAGTGCCGCGTCATCCAATCCCAGTGCTCTTGGCGGTGGCGCCTTTTCGGCATTCGCATCACAACCTTCTGGGCTCGCTTCTGCAGCTGCTGCCGTCAATAATAACGCCCAGCCTATGTCCGCGCCTTCGACCAATGGTGGGTCGGTATTTGGGCAACCTGCATTTGGCCAGTCGGCGTTCGGGTCACAGGCAATTTCACCAGTTGCTCCGGTATCAGCCGTAATGGAAACTGCCCCGTCATCTGCATTTGATAGTGGCGCTCCCTCAGCATTCGGAACTTCAGCTCCAGTGTCTGCGTTTGGTGCCCCCGCGTCAGGTTCCGCATTTGGGAGTGGCCCAGTATCAGCTTTCACCGCTTCCAATTCGCCAGTATCAGCGTTCGGAAACCCGGCACAATCGAATTCGATCCCAGCTTCAAGTAAACCATCGAATTCTACCCCAGATTTCGCTCTTGCAAAGACGAGATTCCGTGCAAGACCAGATGCGGACCGATATCTGGCTCTCCTTCCGACTAATTACGCGGATATCATACCAGCTGATGCAAAGGCTGCGTTCCAGAGTGAAAAGTTCGAGTGGGGAAAGATCCCGGAATGGGTACCACCTAAAGAAGTGCGATGAGGTTACAGCCATTCCCTCGAACCCTTGGAGATATAAGAGATTGAAATTTCCCCACCCAACCCACCCCATAAATTAATACATGTATCATCATAAACACTTTGTATAGTTCGCAGACACCGGGAAGATCTAAATAAGGCAGGTGTAGTATTGATTAGATGGCAGATCGAACTTGTCCTGCGCCATCGATGCTTTCACCGATACATATATGGGGCATTCGAATTCCAAATGACACCAAACTTGACGCTTGACCCCATATAAACCCATACAAACCTGTAGATTGGCCAGATCATCCTTGATCCAGTCTTGTACGTTTACCAATACCATGGCCGTAGAGCCATCGTCGTCGAACACTATTCAAGTCCAATCTCGAGATGTCAGATTCCCTCCTTTTCCTCTGCCTCCGGATGGCGTGACCATCATTCCGTTCAAAGATTTCAAACCCAACGGGATACAGCTGTTCGCACAAACCGGAGAAGAGGAGGATGTGGAGCTTGATGGTCTTGGGATACCTACTGTTGAATTACGTGTGAAGCACGAAACGGATGATCCAAAAAGCAACGGTAGAAAAAGGCGAAAGAAGAAGAAGGTTCCTGCTGAGCCAGGAAAGAAGATACCGTGGTATGAGGAATGGGAGGAAGGTGAACATCTGAGAATCGCGAAGAGTGTATATGATCGGTACGCGCCCCCAACAGTTACAACGACGATGGGAGTTAATATCCGGCGATGCAGGTCATTCTCTCGTATCGATCGGTTTTTCCAAGCTTCGACAGACTTCAAAACTGGTCGGAAATGGCCTAATATTACCTATGGTCTCAATATTCTATGGGATGAGGTGCGTGTATCAAGATCCCTCACAGCTTGATTGCCATTCACCATCACTTGGTTTAGTTTCGGTTATTTGTCGGTCTCATTTCCACACAGCCCAAGTTTCGAAAGCCAAACAAACATCCGCAGGATAGCTTTGCCGTTCCGCTACTCGATGTATCTGATGATGAGAAGGCACCCGCGCTGGATTCTACTGCCGATAATATTGGTGCAAGCCGGCCTTCGGAATCAAAAAAGCGACGTCGAGGAAACCTCGATCTTGCTCCGGATTTTGATGACGATGATGATGAGCCTGATGA